TGTATATGTATATGTTTTGGTTTTTTTGTTTTTCGAGACAGGGTTTCTCTGTGTAGCCATGGCTGTCCTGGAACTCACTCTGTAGACCAGGCTAGCCTCAAGCTCTGGAACTCAGAAATCCGCCTGCCTCTGCCTCCCAAGTGCTGGGATTAAAGGCGTGCGCCACCACTGCCCGGCCAAGATTTTATATTCTTTATGCTTTCTTCAGTGTGGTTAACTTCTTCAGGCTGAAAGTTTTTCTAGTGTCTTTTGAAGAGCTGAGTTTATAGATAATAGATGCTGCTTAAATTTTGTTTTATTGTGGAATGTCTTTTTTGGTATTGAATTATTTCTTGTGATTTAAAGTATTGTAGTCTGTCTAGTCTCTTGAGAGTTTGTAGAACATCTGTCCGAGTCCTTCTAACTTTTAGATTCTCTATTGAATAGTCAAGCGTTATTCTGATGGTTCTGTCTTTATGTTTTACTTGGTCACTTTTCCCTTTTAGCTTTTTATATTCTTTCTTTGTTCTGTATATTTAGTATTTTAATTATTGTGTATCATGGAGGATTTCTTTTCTCATCCAGTCTACGTTCTGTATGCTTCTTTTACCTTGGATAGGCACCTCCTTTTATAGGTTAAGAAAAATTTCTGTGATTTTGTTGAAAATATTTTCTGTGTATTTGACCTGAGTTTCTTCTCCTCCTTCTATTCCTATTATATATAGATTTGGTCTTTTCATGATATCCTAGATCTCCTGGCGTTTTCTTTTGTGCCTGGATTTTTTTCACTTTAAATTTTCTTTGACCAAGGTATCCATTTCTTATATCTTGTCTTCAGTGCCTGAAGTTTTTACCTTCCATCTCTTATGTTCTGTTGGTGAGGCTTGCCTTGGAGGTTCCTGTTTTTAAATTTTTCATTTCTGGAATCCTCAATTTGGGTTTTCTTTTTTTCTACTCTCATGTCTTGAACAGTTTTTTTCGTTTCATTCTACCATTTGTATTGTCGTGGATTTCATTAATAGACTTACTCATATCTTTAAGATTGTTGAGCATATTCATAAAGGCTATTTTGAAATCCTTGTGTGTGCTTTAGCATTTCTCAAGGCCTACTATAGTAGGGTTGTTGGGCTTTAGTGGAGATGCATTGTCCTGTTTGACCACTGTGGATTAAAGCTGGACACCAACAGTAGAAACAACAGAACTTACAAACTCATGGAAACTGCGTAACTCATTACCAAATGAAAAAATAAGTCAAGATAGAAATTATTGTTTTTATGCCTATGCCTAGGTGAATCTGGATTTGGAATAATTGTATTTTTAGGTGTTGATATCTAGTCTTGTCTTTGTTGGGTAGGTTTTCCACTTACTCATTCATTCATTCATTCATTCATTCATTCATTCATTCATTTAATTTCTGTCTCTCTCTGTAGATCTTAAGGGTGTGTGGTGGCTGTGGGTTTCCCGGTAGGGAGTGCTTCTGAGTTCCTGTCAGATGTGACCACTGGGCGTCCCTGGGTAGAACTTGGGAGTGGGGATGGGCTAGAAGTGGGTGGTGGGAGGCTAGGGGGGGGTTCACAGGAGGAAGACTGGGTCTGTCTTGAGGACCCAGTGAATGGGAGAAGAGAGGAAACAGGACCCTGCAGGTGTTCTGCTACAGGGTTGGGGTTGAGACTGCAGAATTGGAATTGGAGGATGGCAGGGAGAGTGACGATTGCCTGCCTGTTTCTCTGGCCAGTGGGTATAGCCAGTGGGTTTCCAGGTGGAAACTTCCCCAGTGTTGTCCGTGAGACAAAGAGATGGGGTGAGAAACTGAAGCAGTAACCTTTAACCACAGTCGAATAAGTATTTCCCCTCCAAAAGAATTTCATTCTTCTTGTCAGTAGGCTTTCGTTACAAAGAACATACTTCACTCTCATTACTGTGTTTTTATTGACAAGTGTTCTGTGGCTGAACTGCAAAGAGCCCCAGTTGATCTCTAGTCCCTTGTTACTGAATCTTGAATTCTATAATAAGCTATGGAAATTTGCGTCTCTCTTGTTCCTGAGCTCCCATCAGCATCTCAGTTTAGCCCTCTGGTCACAGAGCTTTAGGTTTGCCTTGTTTCTTTACATAGAAAACCTGTAGCCAGCTGGAGTTTGATGCTGAGTGGGCCTGGTATGCATAGAATCTGGTTTGCTGTTGGTGTGTGTAACTCAGCATTTCTCCAATGGGTTGCACCCACTGAATGCCGAGCAGACGCACCTAATTCAGGTTGACTCATTGGCAGAGTGTTGTCACTAGGAATGTTTGTATAGTCTCAGATGATGTTCTGCATCTAAGTCCCAAGAGAATTCTGTGTGTGTGTGTGTGTGTGTGTGTGTGTGTGTGTGTGTGTGTGTGTGTGTTACACTGGTGGAGCCTGAGCCAGTTGTGTTTTATAGTCTGTCTCTTCTATAACTGTGTATCATGGCACATGCTCCTTGCCACATGCACCATTTACAGTGGCTGCTTAAGATTCCTTGGAGTAAGTGACCCTACTCTGGTCCCAGAATGCACCTGTTGGATTTATTCTGCCTGTTGATTCTGGACAACGCTGAAATATTCATGGCCTCTGTAGGAATATCTCCTATGGTACGAGGAGACCCATGTACTGTAGACCACATTTAAATGGCTCAGCTCCAAGTGTTGGTCATGCAGCAGTTAAGTTATTTGTGATTCTTCAGTTTACAAGTAAGACATCTTTACACACTGACCTGCTTGCCTTTAGGATAGATGACTAACATTGGCTAAATTCTAATGTATTTTAGATATATTTAGATATATAATGCCAAAGCAGTTCCAGTGACTGTTTCTGTATCTGTCTGTTTCTTTGTTTTAGTGGGGGTTTTTTGTTTGTTTATTTTTTGATAGGGTCTGACTATCCAGCTTTGACTAGTCTTGAACTCATTGAGATCTACCTGCATCTGCCTTCTAAGTGCTTGGCAGTATTTCTGTACATACCCGATTTTGGGTATATTAAACTTTTTTTTTTTTTTCTGTGACAAACAACCTAGAGAAGTGATTTTGTCACACAGTTTTAGGATTTTAAGTCCATGGTCATCTGGTTCTATTATTTGTGGGTCATGGTGAAGCAGAAGGCGAGTATGGTGGAAGGTAATGGTAGAGCACAGTTGTTTACATCATGGTGGACAGGAAACAGAGGAGTAAAAGCAGACAGGAAGGCCTAGGAGTAGTTACTCTCCAGAAGCATGCAGGGACCCACTTTCTCTAGCTAGGCCCTGCCTTCTACACGTCCTCAGAAGTTAGGACTCTCCTGATTCAGTCACCTCCCAAGAGCCCCATAGTTGGCAAACTTAAACCTGAGTCTTCAGAAGACATTTGATTCAGCCATACACTGGGTGTTATTTTTCTTAGCCTTTTAAATTATAATAAGTGAAAGTTAAGGAAATAGGCAGTAATTGTGGTGTCAGAAGCTGAGTTATTTCTGCTTTTGGTGAGTTCCTTATTATTGATCTCTGGGCTTTGGTATTCAGGTCACAGCTGTTTTTGAGGCCACTTTGAGTGGCTTCCCTTTATCAGAAACTGTTCCATGCTCTGATTTTAGGGCTGCCTTTCATACAGTTGTATATGGGAACCTCTCTTTCCTCACTTATTTATTTTTGTGTATGTATGTGTCCATGTGGGGATCCATGTGTGTGTGCCCTGGTGTATGGCGCTGTGGTTGGATATATAAGTCAGGGGACAACTTCCAGGAATCAGTTCTCTCCTTCCACTTGTGGGTCACAGTATCCAACTCAGATTGTCAGGCTTGGTGTCAGGCATCTTTAACCACTGAATCATCTCTCTGGCCCAAGGACATCTTTAGTTGATACTTTTGCCATCTTTTTGGTTGAGCCCTCGCTTCCCTCCACTGTAAAAGGGCTCCTTCTCTGACCAGATCCACAGTTTAAGTATCCTCACACTGGTATAGTCAGGGTTTGCAAAGCATCTGTTTAGGCTACATGCTAGGGTTCTAAGGGTTCAAGGTCTATACGAAAAGACAGATGTGCAGATGAAAAGTTTAATAAGGCTAGGCATGATGGCGCATATTTTTAATCTCAGCATTCAGGAGGCAAAAGCAAGATCTCTGTGAGCTAGAGGCTGGCCTGGTTTATACAATAAGTTCCAGGCCAGTTAGTAGGCCTGTCTTAGAAAAAAAAAAAAAAAAAGTAAGTTTTTTAAAAAGTTTAACGAAGCATTTCTTGTTTCACTACATGTAAAGTATCTTTTACAGAGTAACTTACAGCTTTTTGGTTTGAATAAACATTTTAAGCTTCCTTTGCCATCTGTATATTCTGAGCAGCGGCTAGGATCTGGTGCATATCATTTGGGTCTAAATGGCGCTTTTGCTGTTGAAGACAGAAGCTGTTTTCAGCTCATGTAATTGATTCTTTCCTCTAAGTACAAGGTATCAGCTTGGTCAAGCCAGTGGGGGTGTATGCTGACCATCTAAGGACAGATCGTGCTGCTTTATTGGCTAATGATCCCTAGAAACAGTGATCTGAAGCCTCGGATAGCTTCATGACTAGATGTCTGCCTTCAAGAAGAAATTTTCTCTGTAGGTTGGAGATTTCTGTTTCCTTTTTCTTGTGTTTCTTTCATGGCCACTACTGCCCACAGCCACTGGGGGCAGTCTTCACTCAGTACAAGACAGACATGGCCACTGGATACTGCTGTAGTCTGTGATATGACCAAGTGACCTTGGCACACAAACACAGGCTTTCAGGACAGGGTTGTTCTGGGTTTGTTCTTGTCATTCAGGTGCATTTCCTGCCCTCAGCCTAGTGAGAGCTCTTCTGCACTTGATGGCAGCTTGTGACCATTGTGGCTACGGGGACAGTGGGAGCACTCGGCAGCATGTATGGATCACTAAGCTGCCTGTGCCAAAATGGTATGTGGGATATAGGATGTCACTAGCAGCCACATTGTCAATGATGATGTATGTCATACTCTGAGGAGTCCCTCAGACTGCCTTCCTAGGATCTGTCCTCCTCTGGGTGATGCATAACCCATCCTAGAGGGCCAAGGAGCTTAGGTCATAGTCCTGAGTAGTATCCCTACAGCTCCAGAGCCTGTCTTGTTGCACTAGTTCTACCCACCTGAGTCTTGTCTCAGTGTTCTGAATGCCTGCAGCATAGTCATTAATGTTCCCATCCTGACCTATGCTTATTTTCTGACTAGTAGCATCCTTCAGACTCATCATCTAATCTGCAAGTTTCTTCATGTGATGTTAGTGAGCAGTTTTTACTATTTAAGTCCTTTCCTACTGAATATTAAAATTGTCTCCATTCTTAATAGCGGAAATGAGGAAACAGAGGGAATTCTATCACAAACTGGGCATGGAGGTACCAGGTGACATCAAGGGGGAGGCGTGCTCAGCAAAGCAGCACTTAGATCCCCGAAATGGTGAGTAGCTGCATCAGGCCGCCATGAAATTCAGAGGTTCATTTATCAAGCTTTCCCTCACAGAGCGCTTTCCAGAAAGTGATCATTTTGTGATGGTTGCTGACAAGGTTCTTCATCAATCCTGCTAGCTGGATCTGTTAGTTAGAGTACAAGAGATTCTAGAAAATGCCTAGAGGTCATGTGGAAGAAAACAGAATTTGACAGAGGGTCTAAGAAAAAACATGGTGGATAGTCTTAAGATAAAATTCTAACTTTGTTTGCTTTATAATAAAAAACCAAATGCCAGTTAGATTTGAGCATAAAGTTAGTTGGTGCTTTTAAGTCAGTATTTAAAATTTATTCAAGTCTTTAAGTACTGGCACTTTGCTAGTGGAACCATATAAGTTCCTGAGAGATATTAAAATTACCCTGTATATGCTTAACAGCCTAAGGAAAGTGGTGACTAGGTCCCACTGGGAGCCAGACTAGGCTGGGTGGGAGTGGGTAAGGTGGGTGGAAGTGGGAATCTGGTCCTGGGTATGTGTCCAAAAATAAGGTTCCACGAACCAGGCTTCTTAGAGAAGTAGGTTGCTATGGTAAGTGCTGTGTGATCCTAGGGGCTTATCACTGCTGTCCTTAGCAGTTTTGGTCACTTTCTCCATCTTCTAAGCCCCTTAAGACACACTAATCTAAAAATCTGAGTGCCCTAAGACACATAATCCAAAACCTGCCTCACTCAGCTACAGCCATAGAGCCTCATACCCCAGAGTTCCTTAGTTTCTCAGCAAACATGCAGAATGGTTTTAATTGCTACCACTGAGTTCCTTGTATGTTTGCTTTCAGTAGAGTAGATTTCAACATCATTTTTAATACACTGCCAGGTTTTACAAATATTCCAATATGGTGTCTTCATATGGACTTTGCTTGTCCAAAATGCTTGGAGCCAGAAGTGTTTCTGAGTTGGATCTTTCCCCCATTTTGGAAAAGCTGCATATAACATTTTAATTCTGCCTTTTATGACAGTTTCCACTTAGACCTCAGAGTTTTGTATACTAGAACTTTTGATTTTTAGATTAGAGACATTTCAACCTGTACAACATTTTTCTGTTTGTGCTAAAAGGTGAAACCAAAGCAGACGACAATTCAAATAAAGAGACAGCAGAAGAGAAGCAGGAGGAGGACAACGATTACCACAGGAGTGATGAGCAGGTGAGAACGCCGCCTCTGTGAAGTGTCTGGCCTCAATTTACCCCATGTTTGCATGCTTCAGTGTCTCATGAAGATGTAACAGGTCAAACACCATGAAGTTCTCCTCCAATTAACCCTTAACTTTTCTTTATATTCCTTTCATTTATTTGTTTCAGTTATCAAAGCAACACATGCTGACTGTAAAGCATTTCAGACATACAGAATTACAGTCCACTTCAGATTATGTTCTCTCCAGCCTACTGCAAATACTCACTGTTAGTAGTTTGGTGCCTTCTCTGCTGTGTTCCCAAGGGAAGCGACCCATTAGCAAATTGAAGGGAAGTAAGCATGCAATGTTGAGGACTATCCATGTCTCATTTACCACATTATCAGGCATATGTATGTACATACGTACATATATGCGTACGTGTACACACACACACACACACACACACACACACACACCACTACCACCACCACCACCACCATAGAAGTGCCATAGAAGGGTCTGATAAAATTCTGTATCCCTGTCTATAGAGCTTCCTAGTGTATTGTCTGAGTTTGTCAGTTCTAATAGTTGTGGTGCTTTTGGTGAAACAGGGAGAAATGAAATACCATGCCTGGTTGGCTGTCACTGTGCTTAGATATCCTCTTCCAGCAGCAATGTCTGCAAGTCTGGCTACTGCCTCAGCTGTGTTCCCCAGATACTTGCTGTTTGAAATTCTCTAGGTTATTTCTGCTCCAGCAGTCTGGCGTCCTGGGGAGGCATTTTACTCTGGAACATAACTGCTGGTCCATCATGTCCAATGGATTCTTCTGTTCTCTCCATCTGAACTCCTTTTCTCTCCCCTCTCCTCTACCTCATAGTCCCTGCCTTCAACCCCAGCCTGGTAACTTTTGGGTCAAGGGTTACATAATAACCCATATGTAAGGATCTGCTAGTCTTGGAACAACCAGATCTTGGGGTACAGAATTTAGCAATTGAATACAATCATCACCAGACCAACTCCTACAGCAATTTCCTCAAATGATATTTGAGAAAGTTTTTTTGTCTTGAGCTAAGGCTAATCTTCAGTTTCAGGCACCCATAGTGTCTTTAACTTCAGTGAATGTGTTTGTTATTTTTAGAAGTTATGTTGTGTTTTTATGCCTGTATAATGTTCTTTACTCGGTGTCTTATGTTTAACCTTTACTTTTGTATCTACTGGGATCGTATGATACACATCTTGGTTACTTTCCTTTTTAATTCTTGTACCTGAATTTTGAGAAGATTGAATGAAACTGTGTTAGAAGAGGGGCTTTTTCTGTAGTCTAGGATAAAGCTTTGTCGCTGAAGCAGATTCCCATTTGCATTGCCCTTGACTTGTCTGATCCAACACTCAACTCCACGTGAGGGTTTCCATCCCACATTGTTGCTCTGGCCCTGAGCATTGGCACACGCAGAGCACCTTCCTTGGAAGCAGGCCTTCTTCCGTGCCAAGAGCACTCCTCTGTTTCCTTCACACCCCTTGCTCAGGACAGCAGTCTCAAGGGCAGCCATTTGAGAACATGAGGGACTCAGTGCCCTTGGCAAAATAGATTCATAATTCTCAGAGTGACTGTAAGTTAAAAAGACAAAAATTGACAGGGTAGGGTGTTTCTAAGCATTACAAAGACTCTAAGGAGGTTTTCAAAGAAGGTATAAAAAAACTTCTACAGTGCTGTTCTGATTTCAGAAGACCAGTACTCATAGATGTAGGAGCTAGTGCTCATCCAGGAAAAACGTCTGAGAGTGGCAGTCCTGACCTCTTACCTTTTCTCTTCTAGGTGAGCATCTGTCTGGAATGCAACAGCAGCAAACTGCGTGGCCTCAAGCGGAAGTGGATCAGATGCTCAGCCCAAGCAACTGTGCTGCACCTGAAAAAATTTATTGCCAAGAAGCTTAACCTCTCCTCCTTCAATGAGGTAGCCATCAGTCAAAGAGCTGGGGTAGATCATTCTTGCCTGTCTCGTTTGTTAAATTGACAACAGCAAAAGACACCCACACCCACCCACCCACCCACCCACCCACACCTTCTTTTTAACAGTCTTGTTCAGAGGTGGGTTTTTTTTTTTTTGTTTCGTGTGTGTGTGTGTGTGTGTGTGTGTGTGTGTGTGTGTAAATGTGCAGTGACACTTGCATGGAGATCAGAAGACAGCTTGCAAAAGTTGTCTTCCACTATGCAAAAGACCTCCCTCCACTATGAGGATCCTGGTGATTAAGCTCAAGTTAGCAGGCTTAGTAACAAAGTACCCTTACCCACTGAGCCATCTTGCTGGTCCCTTGTTTGGAAATTTGTTTTTATAAAAGATTTATTTTTTTATATGTATGAATATTTTACCCACACATATGTATACCATGTACATACCAGGTGCCCACAGAGGCCAAATGAGAGCATCAGGTCCCTTGGGACTGAAGTTCCAGACACTTGTTAGCCACCATGTGGGTGTAGGGTAAGGTGCTCCTAATCACTGAGCCATTCTTCCAGTCCCAGAAATGTGTTTTTAGATTAATGATGAGTGGGTGGGTGAATGAATGAAAGATGGATATGACACTTAGAGGTTAAACTAATAACTGAAAATAAAGTAAGCTAGAGACCCATAGTGTGTTGTCGGGGCTCATGGCACAGACGTATGAATATATGTGTTCAGAAAGCCAGGTGGTATAGCATTTGGGCAGAAATATAAGTAAGAGCTGAATCAAGGAAGGGTCAGTGATTTGAAGTTTTGCCTCAAGAGTTCTGAGGCTGTTTGGAGAAGGACTTGCAGGACACATAGACTTTGTCAGAACAAGACAAGTTCCCGCATGTTACAGCAGGTGCATATGAGTGGTGATGAATATAGTTTGGAGAGTAGTATATAAAACTGTTAGCCACTGAGCTAGTATCCCAGCTGGAGCCTGTGGGTATGACCCACTGGAAGAGGGTCTTGGCAGATTGTAACATCTCAGGTTGTCTGCTAAACCTAAGCCCAGTGAGAAGAATCTTGTGTTAGTAGCAGTAGAGGAACATTTTAGATACAGATTTGGGGGAAGCTGGATAAGAAATAAACAGAAGCAGAAATTGGAGTGACCTGGTTACAAGCCCTAAGGAATCAAGGAGGAAGAGGATCTTCTCATAGTCAGTGTCCCCCAGATCCATGTGCTGAAAACTCTATTTCAGCCCAGTGGTACTGGGAGGCTGGACCATGGGGAAATGCTTAAATCATGATCTGTACCTAAGAAATCTCTCTTCAGCTCTTACAACTTGCAATGACAGCAAGTACCTACACTACAACCAGAATTCCAGCCTATAGCACAAATTAACTGCTAAATCAGTTATATTAACTTAATTTGCTTATATTAATATGTTAATGTTTTATTTTATATTAGCTGCTCATCAGTCACCCAGTCTAAGCTATTCAATTATTGCCACACTGCAAGACATTCCTGGCAGTCCTGCCACAGTGCTCTCTCAGAGCTGTGTCTCAGGCCCAGGACCAGGGCTCTCTCA